TTACCAACTAGTTTGAGAAGAACTGATTTAAGTGTTAAAGGCTACTGATAACAGTTTACAAAATAATTTTCTGATAGAATAATTATTGACAACTTTGAAAGAAATATATAAATTTATTTTAGAAATTCACAGAAAGAAGTAATAGCTACTATATTTCTGTAAAAATAAAAGTATTTTAGATAAGTTAAAACTTATTAATATTTTTAATAGAAATAAGCAATTTATCATAAAAACCTTTAAAAGGAATAATGAAAAATATTATAGAAAGAACCAAATTTATATATGCACAGGAATTATCAGGTCTAATTTTCCATTCAAAATTATGTTTTGAATTAATAAACAATTTAATATTTGCAGTCTGTCTTAATGAATTTTTACAAAAGTAACTGGTAACTGGACTTATAAGAAAAATATTCCAGCTTTAATGGATTTTAAAGCTGGACTTTTTTCTTAAAATTTTATACTTCTTCATTAACAAATTAATTGTACCTATTTACAATAGCTTATGACAAGTTTTTATAAAATTCAACCAATAAACTGATAAGTTGAGGAAACAAACATATTTATATTTGAAAAGAAATTTCAGACATATCTGAGTTCTGCTTGAAGAGCTGATTAATTTAATTAATGACCTGGCTGGTCTTTCATCAGCTCTTCAAACAGAACTTAGAAAATATGAAAATACAAAATGTTCTAAACTCAATTATCAATACAATTTGCATGTAACAAATAAAATTTTTTAATATGAAACTTATAGTATTTTCAACAAAATTCAAATTTTCATCATCAGGTGAAAATAAGTGGAAGTAGAAGAAAATATCACATGCAAAGAAATGTGAAATTTAAAATCAATTACATACACAATGAATACATAGAAATTAGATATGGTAAAAAATAACAGCATATTTCAAATATCAAATTAAGGCAATTAAGGCTAAATAATTATTAAGCAATCTGGCAGAAGGCAGGCCTTAGGCCACCATCTCGTGTTAAATATAACAATTACAAATTAAAATTAATTTATAATCATTATATTAAACAAGAGATAGTAGTTCGCCTTCTGCCAAATTGCTTAATAATTATTTAGTCTTATTAGTCCAACAAAGGAATCTGGTTGTTCATTTGATACTTGAAATAAGTATTGGATTGGTTGTATTGTAAGATTTATTTGGTATAAATTTACATTTATACTGTTTTTATTTAGTGTGAACATTTTAGATAAACATTACACACAAATGAAGTACAGTACTGTATTTACATTAAATGTAATGATTCAATCTATTTTAAAGATGGTTTTCCATGTTGATCATAACTTTCTTTTGAGAACATGTTATGGAATTAGTCCAAGATTATTACTAAAAATTAAGTTTTAATTTTATGAACATGTTTTAAAATGGAAATATTGAAACACATAACTGAAGAAACATAATTATAAGTTCATTATAGCATATACAGTTAATGTCACATTAAAAATTTACTTTTATTTTGCCAATCTACAAACATTTTAATTGTTATAGTCATCCCAATAAAAATTAGTGAAATTACATTGGCTTTCATTGACCTATAGCATGTATACCAGAAAATATTTTATTAGTGTCTATTGATTTTTTAACAGGGATATATAACAATATATGAACAAGTAAGTGAATAATGTAAACATCGAATCTACAAGCATATAAGGAGAGATATAAATAAAAGCAGTAACAGTAGTAAAGCACCAACAGCAATATCGTATTAACTACAGAAAAGAAAATACAATGAAGAATGAAGTAGTTATTCTCATATGATAATGTATTTTCTTTTCCTGCAGTTAAGATATCTCCTTACATGTTTGTTGATACCTTTTGTGCATTATTCACCTATTTAGTAATAGGTATTATTTTTTACCACATTTTATGTCTATGTACTTGTTGTGAAATTTGAAATTAATTTTGTACACATTATTCTGCATTTGAGATTCTTTTGTTCTTGTTGCATTCACTTTTTCTGATGATGATGATGATCTGAATTTTACTAAAAACATTTAAAGTTAATATTAAAGAATGTTATTTATTATTTGTAAGAATTTCATTTCTTAGCACCAAAAGATGGAATTTTTCTTTTCAAAATTATTTTTATAGACATTTCTATAAATTCTGTTCCATATTAAGTAGTTAACATTTATGATATAATAACTAGTATTTGTATTAAGAGATATTGAATAACAATAATAATTGTACATTAAGGATTGTAAGAAAATTAGATTTCTAGTAAATCTTATGATTTTTACTTCATGAAGTTTGCCAAATGAGTAAGCATATCTCTTGAACATTTATTAACCAGTGGCTGTTTTGATGTCATTATTAAGGACAATTCAGCTATTTTGAGTGGCAATAGTCTAAATCCTGAATCTTTAACTTATGGCCCCAAAGCATATTTATCTAGTCTGAATAGCTTGTTTTCACTGGCATGTTTTATCATCAAAATTGAAATTATTTCAAAGCATAAAAACTTTTGAAAAGTTAAGTAGAATTAACAGACCTTGCTGCAAATGATTTTTATAAAAACTTATTTACAGAAGGGAGTGTTAAATTTTTACAAATCTCTGTCAGGTGAGAATTTTAAGAGAGCCTTAAGAAGTTTGCATGGGGATATTTTCTATTTTTGCTTTGTGAACAAACCTTCTCAACAATGAAATTATCTTGAAATATTGAAACATTACTATCCAGCAAATATCTACAGATATTTAAATATTGAATGTAATAAAGTTTATCCCTAATTTTGATCTTTTTCAAAACCTGTCTTTTGAATCTGTCTTCTACAGTTTGTGTGTTTCTTCTCAGAAAAAAGTTGGAGATTCTAGTCTAAATACCAGCATGACAGACATACAGACTGAAATAAGATGTGGCTTCACCCCATCTTATTTCAATATGCTGTATGTGTCTGTAGTCTGTTCGTGCTTACATTTACAAAATTACCTTTCAGACAGCTGAGAAACTTTTAACAACAAGAGATAAACAACTGCTGGTTAATAAACAGCAAAAAGAATATTTAGCTTAATAATATAAAAATGAACACTACAAACACCTAAGATACCAGTGAGAAAATTAAAAACGACTTTCAATAGCTATCTATCCATCTATCTGCATTTAACTTTGTTTCTGCTCCCTCCATGATTTCCTCCTCTCCCATATTAAGGATGCCGGCAAACTCCATAAACACACTTTGGAATTAACTGACTTGCTCTGCCATTCATCCTTTTTCTCATTCGAAAAAGAAACTTTCCTACAAAGCAAGGGAGTCGCCATGGGCAGCCCTTTATCTAGTTTCTAGATAAAATAGTGTGTCAACTAAGTAAACTAGTAGTGTGTCAACTGGAGTCCACTGTACTTCCCACATTCACCTATATACCAGATATGTTGACGATATCCTCATAATTTGGCAGGATAAATCCACCATTTTGGATTTCTTATAAATGATAAATCACAACCCATTCAGCCTAGTACTACGTCTTGAACAGAACAATGCCCACTCTATTAATTTCCTGGACCTCCAGATCACTACAAACCGGACACCTCTCTACTCAGGTATACCCACCTCCCCATTTTCATCCCAACTGCATCCCACGATTTTCATGTTCAAATTGGCAGTGTTCAGATCATTAATACAGAGAGCATTTTCCCATTTTTTGAGCAAACAGGCAAGAGAGAAGGAGCTATGCACTGTCACTCAGTATGCTACCCAGCATGGCTACCCCCACACATAATTAAAAGTCTGACCCACAATCTTTCCAACACCGCTTCCATCCAGCTGAATAAACCCTCACAGAAAGAAACCAAATTCAAGACCGTCACCTACAATAAGTCACTAGTAACACTTTACAAAGAAATAGCATGAGGAAACAATTGTTGTTTGGCTTTCCACAGAAGTATGGCTATCTCCTCTCTACTCCGTAACACTAAAGACCAACCCAACAAGGACCATCGACCATTGATACAATTGCCACCTGCAATACATAGGTGCTACATCTCACCCATTACATGTCTGCCTCAAGGAACATCAAACATCTGTCAAAAAAGGATTAAACAATATGGCTTTGGCCACATATGCATTTGTTCCAAGCATCCAAGTGGACTTCCAAGAGACACACCTGCTACGCTATGAATCTGAACAACATGTGCTGAAACATGTAGAACAGGTGGAAATTTACGAAGCCACTCACCATAATGCAGCTATAAATTTTTGAGATGACTCTTTCCTCTCTACTTTGAAGTTGTTCTATGAACTGTAAACCCCCCCTCCCCTCACGTCACATATCCCCAACCCTTCACACGGGTTTGGCAACCCCAGTGTTTTTCACTGCAGTTTGGTTGCCTGACAATATACATTTAACACAGGCAAAAACATTCGCACTTCATGTTTAATTTTCTCACTGGTATCTTAGGTGTTTGTAGTGATCATTCTTATCTAATAATATAAATTTCAATGATTGCACAATATAGTGTTAACAATAAAATTTGTTAAAAATATATTATTTGCTACATCATACAAAAGACTTCTTTATTTCTATTATTTGTGAAACTGATTTTGTGATTATCCAATTAAAAATTGAATTACTTTTGGGTTAAAATAGAACTAATTTAATTAATTGAAATTATTTTAATTTCTACCTGAAAATAATCCATCTTTTAGATTTATGTTCAACTATTAAATTGAGTTATGATTTATTGTATGTTTATATTATTCTGTTCAATGTTTTATTTAATTTAATTTATTAATAAAATTTCATTTCATTAAATTTATAATTTATACATAAGTTAAATTCAAAATTTAGACAGAAATGTAAATAGTAATTATCTCTGTAATTTATGGTATATTTGTAATAGTAAAAGAAACATGTTAAAGTTTTTAATTTGGATCTATCTATGTATTGGAAAAAGAAATGATTTCCTTACAATTGTTTAAAAAAATGTTAAATTAAAATAATGTCAATTGTAAAAGTTAACATCATTTTTTAACAGAAAGGTCTTGCTGGTGTTCCTTCAAGAGCCCTTTCTGCTGTCAAACAAATCAACCTTCCAGATCAAGTTAAGGATATAAAGTTGCCACATCTTCCACATTCTGGCTTACAGAAATTGTAGGCCTCAAATGTAATTATTATTTCACTAAATAAATTCAATGTAATTATTAAATGATATAAATATACAATGCTAAGCTATGTAGATATTGCTATAATGTATTCTGAATTGTAAAAAAAATCAAAAATTTGCTGATTGGGCATATCCTCTGCTAATTCAGTTAATTTTTTTTATGGTAATTTAGAAATTTTTCAATTAATTAACTAAATATATTAGATCACTTTTCTTCAGAAATATATTGTAGATGTAAACATTAATCATGATAAAATAATTTAAATTCCTTATATTTTTATTAAAATTTTCAAATACCAAATTGAAAAACAATTTCTCCTAGTAAAGATAATTATGCAGTTTACCAAGAGAATGAAAATTGAATATAAACTGAAATGTTTAGAAAATTTATGAATCTTAAATTTTTAGAAAATTACAATATAAATTTGAAAATTTTAGTAAAAAATAAATCTTTTTAATGTATTTTTTGTATTGATAATTTTATAATAATTAAATAATCTTAACACATATCTTTCTTATGAATAATCTAAGTTGCACATATCAAAAATTACAGATTTTTGTAACTTTAGTAAATAAATATAATGCTAAAAGTACTGATAAATAAATATATATTTATAGATATCACTTTATATCTTGAAATGTTTTACTATAATTACCTTTGTTATAAAATATTGAAATTACTTACTTGCAAGAATTTAAAATTGCATTTTAGATAATAAAAGTATTAAAAAAACTTAATATTTAATATTAAATTGTTATTGCTATATTGAATTTTTAAGTAATTAAATCTAAAAATTGTAACAAATGTAGACAATAGATATTGCAGTAAATTTCTTTGTCATTATTTATTGAAATACACAAATAAATATCTTTAAATTTCATAATTAAGATTGCATAGAATATAAAAGTAATAGTATCAATAATGAAACTTAATTAATATATCAAATCTATTATAGTAATGGTTAGTACTTAAATCCTATATTTTTTATTGGGTTTAAAAGACTTAATATTAAAAATTATTAAACTATAAAATCCCATTTAAAGATAAGTATGGTATATAATTATAATTTAAAGAGAATTTTAATTAAGTGGTAATTTGTAATAAACTCATGCTCTTCAACTTTTCCATAATTATCCTAATGTTCAACAATCATCAGATAACTTTCAATTTATTATTTATTTATATTATTTTTTGCAATTCCTTTAATTGTTAAATTTTAAATTATTAATAATATAATATGAAAATATTTTGTAAATGTAATTTAAAAGTTTACTCCAAAAAAGTATGAAATATTAGGCTTTTTAATTATTTAGAATATTTAGATTTAGTTTTTATTTTCTTGAAGCCTGAACATGATTTATTACTACAATAAAGAAACAGAAATTAAACAACAACAACAAAAAAATAATATCAAAGTTTTGATTTTTTTCTTTCTTCTAGATTTATTGGTTTATTGCTTAATAGTTTTTCATTTTTCTCATAAACCAAATTTTTAAAAAACTGAATGAATTGATATTTAACAATAATTTATTTTTCATATTTATGCTTTTATTTTGAATTTTAACATATTATTATTATTTTTTACATATTATTCTTTACAACTTTTTAAATTAATGGAATTGTAACGAAATTATATATTGCAATTTTGCAGTAATCATTTGAAAAGTATTTCATTATTGAAATTGCATTTATTTATGGTATAGTAAATATATTTTTGTAAAGTAATTGCCAAAAATTATAGAATAATAATTTTAATATAAACACGTAATAGAAAATTTGTTTAAAGAAACTATTCATTTTCATGTTATATTACAGTATTTTCTTTTCCAAATATCAATACAAGTAATAGATTACTTTTTATATTTTTATTCGAACAGATTTTTTTTATTATATGAATTTTTTTAGGTATTTTCTCATTTTTGATTTCATTCCACTTTTAAATAACCTGTAAGTGCCAATTAATCAAAGACTGAATAAGTGTATTTAAAAAAATACATTATTATTCACATTTTAAAAGATTCATTCAACTGCACATTGTAGTAAAAATATTGAGATATTTTAACACTTTGCATAATATTTTGTTAACTTCTACTTACATGTTATTTTAAATACACTTTTCCTTTTTATTTGTTGTTTGCAATTGTTATNATAAGTATGGTATATAATTATAATTTAAAGAGAATTTTAATTAAGTGGTAATTTGTAATAAACTCATGCTCTTCAACTTTTCCATAATTATCCTAATGTTCAACAATCATCAGATAACTTTCAATTTATTATTTATTTATATTATTTTTTGCAATTCCTTTAATTGTTAAATTTTAAATTATTAATAATATAATATGAAAATATTTTGTAAATGTAATTTAAAAGTTTACTCCAAAAAAGTATGAAATATTAGGCTTTTTAATTATTTAGAATATTTAGATTTAGTTTTTATTTTCTTGAAGCCTGAACATGATTTATTACTACAATAAAGAAACAGAAATTAAACAACAACAACAAAAAAATAATATCAAAGTTTTGATTTTTTTCTTTCTTCTAGATTTATTGGTTTATTGCTTAATAGTTTTTCATTTTTCTCATAAACCAAATTTTTAAAAAACTGAATGAATTGATATTTAACAATAATTTATTTTTCATATTTATGCTTTTATTTTGAATTTTAACATATTATTATTATTTTTTACATATTATTCTTTACAACTTTTTAAATTAATGGAATTGTAACGAAATTATATATTGCAATTTTGCAGTAATCATTTGAAAAGTATTTCATTATTGAAATTGCATTTATTTATGGTATAGTAAATATATTTTTGTAAAGTAATTGCCAAAAATTATAGAATAATAATTTTAATATAAACACGTAATAGAAAATTTGTTTAAAGAAACTATTCATTTTCATGTTATATTACAGTATTTTCTTTTCCAAATATCAATACAAGTAATAGATTACTTTTTATATTTTTATTCGAACAGATTTTTTTTATTATATGAATTTTTTTAGGTATTTTCTCATTTTTGATTTCATTCCACTTTTAAATAACCTGTAAGTGCCAATTAATCAAAGACTGAATAAGTGTATTTAAAAAAATACATTATTATTCACATTTTAAAAGATTCATTCAACTGCACATTGTAGTAAAAATATTGAGATATTTTAACACTTTGCATAATATTTTGTTAACTTCTACTTACATGTTATTTTAAATACACTTTTCCTTTTTATTTGTTGTTTGCAATTGTTATTAATAAATTTATTTTATAAATTTGTTAAAACAACAAAATTTTCAGCTTATATACTTTATTTTTATTTATTAAATAATTCGTTTCTGTTATCTATTTACATAAAACTGCAATAAAAAGGAAAAGTGTAAAAGAAAATTTAAAATCTTTAAAAACTAGATAAAATTTTTAAAAAATAAACAATAAAGAAGTATACTCTTTAGTTATATACACTATACTTAAATAGTAAATGAAAATTTGGTATCAAAATTTTTTCATGAATTTTAAAATATTGTCATAACATTCAAGAAGTATATATTAATCATTGATTTAATAAAAAAGAAAATTCATTCCATTTTTTGTCATGTAATTCTAATAGCAAGGTTTTCCTTGCTATCTGTTTATTGATAAAGACAAAATTATTTCAAAAAATTCAAATAATAATAGATAATTGGTGATAAGAGTTTTGTGTTTAATTAGATTTTCTATTTAGTTAAATTTATATTTGTAATAGTAAAAGAAACATGTTAAAGTTTTTAATTTGGATCTATCTATGTATTGGAAAAAGAAATGATTTCCTTACAATTGTTTAAAAAAATGTTAAATTAAAATAATGTCAATTGTAAAAGTTAACATCATTTTTTAACAGAAAGGTNAAATACAGTTTTCTTCAAGATTTGAAGTTTTGGAATTGAAAAACACTGATGTAATAAACATTTGTTTTTGTTATACTTATTCTTCATGAATACATATTGTATTTTATTCTATTATTTTTATAATTACATATTACTTTTTCCAAACATAATTCATATACTGTAATCACAATTTAAATATATTTTTATTGATTAATAATAAATAATAAATTGTTTTAGATTTATATAATAATTACATAAATCACTATTATTGAGGAAATATAAAATTAACTAATAAATACAAATTTGTTTAATATGCACTAATAAAATAATATAAAAAAATTATCTAGATATTTAATAATTTTTCAATTGTAATAGCTCAAATTTCATTATTATTTACACAAATAGAAATAAATAGAATTTAATGTTTCAGAATAAAAGTTTTAAATATTTATATTTAAACTTTCTCCGTCCAACCTATGTGCCATTTCTACTTTTAAAATTTGAATTTTTAAATTTAGATTATTGTGTTTTGAAATAGAACATAATAGATGTAAAATTTTCTTAATATGAAAAATATTTTTGATAAGTTATTTTAAAATAGACAGACAAAAATTATTTTTGTTCTTCATAAATTAAATGCATCACAATTTATATAATAAAGATTGAAACTTACATTTTATTTATTTTATTTTTCTTTATTATACAGACTTTATTAAATGAAAAATGATTTTGATGTTTTAATTCTTTTTCCAAATTAACATTTCACTTTCTAACATTCCTTATACTACCAAAAGAGATGTACTACTATAATAATTGCAAGTATTGCATTCACTTTATTTAATTATTTAATAATTTTATATTATTTTTATTAATTTTCTGAATAATTTTATATTATTATTTTTAATGATGTATGTAATTTAATTAGTATTTAAATTTGTTAAAATGTTATTGAATAATATAATTAATAGAAATGAAAGTTTTAATTTTATAAGGTATAAAAAGCATAATAATTAGAATAATAGCTTAAGATATGAAATATTTACTAAATTCTTATACGCTTTAATTAATTGTTCTATGCTATATTCCAATTATAATAAAAATTAATGTATTTGAAATTTCTATGAAGAGCAAAAGTTTATTCTATGCCATCCTAATTCTAAATCATCAAATATAGTCTATAAGTAATAGTTTGCACTGTGTGCACATTTTTAAATGAAATACCGAATGAATAACTGTTGCCAAAGAACAAATCAGATTAGATATTACTATGTTAGTATTATCACATTATATGTAATGGAATTCATTAATTTTAAGAGATGTATACTAAATTAATTAAGTGCAATATTTTTTACTCTTTATTAAATTAAATGTCAGAGGATAATTCCAATAAAATATATTTTTTAAGGTAGAAGATCAAAAACTTCATGAAAAATAAACTTTACATTTACGTGTTAATTTCAGTTTGGTAGAATGAATGTTCAATGAATTTTATTATTGATAATCATTCTGTCAAATAATGCTTGAAAATAATGTTGTAAAGCTTAGTTTATAATTGCAAAAAATATTCTCTAGAATATTTTTAGAAAAACCAGAAAGAGATTAATTTCTCATATTCTTACTGTTAATATTTAAAGTAAAATATTATTTTTTGATATTTATTGATGTTAAATGTTTTACAATTGCTTTAAATTTGGAAAAATTGAAATTTATGCATATTCACTGTTTGAATGTTAGAAATG